GAGGTCTGGCGCCCATGAGACGGCAAACACATGCAGCCATTTTCGAAATTCTAACTAAAAGTAGAAACTCATTTTTTCATGGACGTCTTCCGTGCCGTTGCCGTCCTGACTGCTTAAAGTCCCTATTATCACTAATTTTTATCTTGAAAAGCTTTTCTAGAATACTACTAATCAAGATTTTGTGCTGTGATCCTAAATAAAGCAGCTTAAAGGTGTTGAGCAGACAGCCACGACCCCGTCAAAAATATGTACTAACATTCAGCGGCATTTTTTCCAATATGTTGTATCACATGGAAAGCAAAAAACAAAAAGTCTTAAAAGAACTGTTTACTGAAGATAATCTGGAGAACTAGAGTATATATATGAAGAGCTTGGGTAGTTTTGTTATCAGAGTGCCACATAACATTCCCTGATATAATTTCTTTAACTTGCCTTGTGAGTGTCCCAGGTAGTTTTAAAATCGACTTAAATTGTTTGCAAATGGATTTAGCCAAGTTCTTGGGTGTTATTGCTATTGCACACACACACAAAAAAAAAAAAATACAGAAATGCTTACCTAGCAAGCGGGTGATACTTACCTAGCACGCTTAGTATAAACATGGTTTTAGACATTTTGCTGCATATAGTTCCACTCATCATCCAATTAACGAGGCCCAAGGTACGTATGAGTTGCTGCGATCAGCTTTCGGTTCACTAAAATTTTTTGTATTTAGGAGAACGCAAGAACGGCAATTTCCTCAAGTATTTCAAACTGTTTCGTAGGAGGAGGACTTAAATGCAAATCGTAATACTCGGTTGACAGTTCATGACGTGGGTCACAGTTTTCTGTTTCTCCTTTTAATAGACGGACCACTAACGAAAAAAGTTACTTGCAGCAGGTGTGGAGCCTTGTTGTTCTTGATAAAAACCGGAAGTTTGCGGCACGAAAATTTTGTAAAGTTCAAATTTTCACAAAGAGGTTATTAAAAAACAACTATTTATCAAGAATGGAGTTATGAGCTCGGTGTGACATTAGTTGGCTCAAACCAATTTATGTCAGTATCAACCACTGGCAGCTAATCTGAGTATCCCACCTGTTCGCGTGCGTGAATGGAAATTATTATCAAATAGAAGAAAAATGGTTAGTTTTCAGCTTGATAAGGAAATGAAGAAAGATAAGAAAGATATTTTTGGTCTTGTCTCGAGAGTGGACAGTAAAAGAATTCTGAATCCATATGTCGAATCGATTCCTCGCGGGGACTCACAATTTTTTTCTTTCTCCCACGCTCGTAGAAATTATTACTTTGCAACCATCTCGCAGATGACATGCAGTGCGTTTTAACCTATGATTCTTATCTGGTATCTCATTAATTTTTGCTCCTGTATTAACATGCATAATTACAATTCTACCATGGCAATCTCTGAGTCGGATCGCGCCTTAAATTCGAGTTTAATAGGGCTGATCTTCAACTGGACAGAAAACTGACGACGGCCTATTGCCAATAGTTTAGCTATCAGCTTACAAAATGACTTCCCCCTTTCCCCAAACTACATTTTCGTCATAAAGACCACCACTTTTTGACTCCAACTGTTTAAACTCTTTTACCCTTTAAGAAGAAGCGGGTTCGAAGAAGTAAGATTAACAATCCCCCCCGACTCGTTTTCTCATTTAATGGAGCTCCATATAAATGGTAATGTCCCCTTTAAAGATGAAATAAACAATTTTTAATATCAGGGAAAAATCGAGTTTCCAGATGGGATCTCGATTTTTCTCTTATAATAAATATTGTTTATTTCATCTTTACATGCTTACTTTGGGGGCTGGTTGGCTGCATGTGATGCTTTAATGTGACAGCGTAATGTCCCCTTTGTAATAATATATTGAAAACAGGCTCATGGAATTATTCCGTATTTTCATTACTATGGGTTGTTCCCATGAACTATCTAGCTTGAGCAATGTCTTCCAAATTGCTACTTTCTTTGAATTTCGCGCCATTTTTTGGTCAGCATTTCCTATTGTTTAATTCCAAATTCTTCGATTAATTTGTGACTGCAAGATAATATTACGCAACAGGGGGTTGCAGAGAAGGCAAAATGAACCAAATGAATGTAAGTGATAAGCAAATTATCCACTCTGTTGGCTTTTATTTATCTTAAATTAGTATTTTTGATCTACTTATTTCTCCATTAACTCTGCATTTATCCATCTATTCATCCTTCTATTCATTTATAAGCAACACCATTAAATGTTAAATGAGGCTGCTACTATTATATCAACAATTATTATGATTGGCATCATTTAAGGGCCCCTCCACGAATTTTATTGTTAATTTGCCCTTTCGGGCTCCAAAGGCCTTGTTTTGGGATTTTGTTACGGTTTACAGTTGTAGTTAAAGGTGGGCTTTCCCTTTTTGAATGCTCGCCGCATTGTTTCTTTGCAATTGGTTACGTAACTCATATTAACATATTTAGTATTCTTATCTCTTAGTTTTTAGGGTTTGTTTCTTGTATTTTGTCCATTGCTTTCTTTGTAATTAGGTTTTTTGTTATCTTTTTATTAGCACCTGTTCATTAGTCGTTATCTGTAATTACGTAATCACTAGCACCTCGATCCTATTTAATGCTCTTTTTTTATTTCAAAAGTTGTAAATAACTGAAGAAGGTCTCTGAC